AAGAATTGGATGCTAGTTAAGATAATTGAATTGGGCTCTAAAATATGAAAAGTGAAACAAATAACTTGTTTTTCTGGCAATTATAAAAATTATTGCCTACGTAAGTGGTTATGGTCAAATGGCTCCTGACTATAAGAAATATAAAAGATAAATGTTTAACTGTATGTGGGTTTTTGTAGATAACTTCTTTTTCACCTGTAATATGTAAAATGTTTAATTATATAAGGAATAAGAAAAATATGTTGTTTGTTGTAATTTACCTTTATTCATTGTAATCACTCACTTAAGAAGCAAAATGTAACCACATTGTAACTTTTATATTGCTCGAAAGCTTCTGCTGGGGTATATAAGCAGTGGGGTGGGGGTGAGGGATAAAGACAGGAAAGAAGAAAACACCAGGAAGATGTAGAAGGAAGACATCAAGGCAGAAGAACAGAAGAGTAGAACAAGGACCAAAAAAAGAAGAAACTTTTATCCCTCAGAAATCTGCATGTATTTCTTACCAACTCAGCATCGCATTCCCAGTCTCTCTGACCCGCAGCAGGCTGGATGCTCTGCACTTCTGGCCTCCTGGAACACCTGCACACACACGCATGGGACTGTTGCAGAATATTTGTTTAACTATCCGAAGATGTGTAGCATTTGTTTAACTATGTAAAGATATGTTGCTGTTTTACCTGGCCTGCCTAAGGCACCTGATTGGTCTAATAAAATGCTAACTGGCCGATAGAGAGGGAGGAGGTGTAGGCGGGACTTCTGGGCAGGGAGAGTAAGTAGGAGGAGGAATTTAAGCTTAGGGAAGGAAGAAAAAGATACCAAGAACCAGACAGACAGACATGGAGGAAGCAGGAAAGTAGGACATACAGAATGAAAGATTAAAAAAAAAGCCCAAGGAAAAATGTAGACAAATAGAAACAGGTTAAATTAAGCTAAAAGAGCTAGTGGAACAAACCTAAGCTAAGGTCGAGCATTCATACTTAATAATAAGTCTCTATGTCTTTATTTGGGAGCTAGTTGTTGGCCCAAAGAAAATACCAACTCCATGGTGTACATAAGCTTCTGCAGGCACATACCTGACCATAAAGAAATAAACAAATCTTCTTATTAAAGAAGTGAGTTAATGAACTGGAGAGATGGCTCAGTGATTCTGAGCATGCACAGCTCTGACAGAGGATCTGGATTTGGTTGCCAGCACCCAGGTTGGGAAGCTCACAAGTGCCTGTGACTCTGACTTCAGGGAGCGTCAACACCTTTGGCCCCATGGGCACCTATACTTATTTGCACACACCCACACCCACCTCTGTTGACTGTTGGAGTTTTCCATGGTTCTGATGATTAGACATGGAAGTACAAGGAACCCTCCCAGGGACTGTTTCAGACACACCTACTTCACCCCATAGCAATGAGTTTATTTCTGTCTGTAATGGAGGAATCTCACATCACCTCCCCTTTTCTGCTTAAATAGAAAGGAAGGTTTTAATTTTTAACATAATAAAATTGAATATAACAAAATAGGTATCAAGCAAGAATTACAGTTACAGTAGTTATATCTACTTTATATTTTATCATAACTAAGAAAAACTATAACTACAATTATATGTTTTGCAACTCCATCAAAGACTCCAGAAGGATATAATATTACCTAAGTAAACAGGAGGTGCATTGTAAGCAACTTCCAAAACTCTAGACTTGACAGAGACATCTCACTGCCTGGACAGTCACCCAAAGTTCTTCTGTAACATTGGGGCATCCATCTTTAGCCTATCAGCCCATAGTATTTGGCAGATTTTTCCATAAAGCAGCAGATTTCAAAGACACTTCAGCCTATATTGGGAAAATATTTGTCAGTCACTTTCTTCTGTGTCCTGCAGAATGTCTGGCAAACTCTTTCATGAAGCAGGAACCCCAAAGGACTGTCTCACCTTTAGGCAAGTTCAGCAGTCATTTCTCCCTGGGTCCTGCATGTCCAGCTCACACAGCATAACATCAAGCAGTCCAGGCAAGAGCAGTTTCTTGCCCAAATGACTAGCAAACTTTATAATGAGCCTCTTTGAGGCTCATCTTCTTCTTGAAGGAGATTGCTGCTGCAAGGAGAAGATGTGTCTCACTGTAATGAAAAGTCTTAAGTTCTTAAACATCTTAAATGACATATTATGAAGGTCTTTGAAAGATTTGAAGAATCCCTATCCACCCAAAATATACCTCTGTACATCTAGAAAATCTAACTAACATGACTACAAGCTTGACTATTATAGATGACTATCTGCTAACCTATATTTCTTTTTTTTTAAATTTATTATGTATATAGTGTTCTGGGCACAGATCTCATTATAGATGGATGTGAGCCATCATGTGGTTGCTGGGAATTGAACTCAGGACCTCCGGAACAGCAGTCAGTTCTCTCAGCCTCTGAGCCATCTCTCCACCCCTAACCTATATTTCCTAATTATATAATTTTTTTACAAAAATGTACTTTTTTTTATTATTTTCGAGACAGGATTTCTCTGTGACTTTGGAGCCTGTCCTGGAACTCACTCTGTAGACCAGGCTGGCCTCAAACTCACAGAGATCCACCTGCCTCTGCCTCCCGAGTGCTGGAATTAAAGGTGTGCGCCACCACAACTAGGCCAAAATTACTCTTTAATTAGTGAAAAAAATTCAAATTCAAGCCTTACCTAATGCTTATTGCCCTTCCTTGCAGGTCTAAATGCTAGGCCTAGTGACTGTGGCAACTATGTGGCAACTTTCTCACTGACGGACGTTCCTAACGGATCTGCTCCTTGCAACTCCTTCCTGCTACTTTCTTCGACCTTCCAGTTGCAATAAGAGAATTTAACTAGCTTTTGGAAAGCTGCTCACTGCTGTCAGAGTATCTTACACCTCCACTTCTCTGTAGTTGAAGTTCTTGCTGCTGCCTTCTCATTCTTTATTTATGCTGACTTGTCCAAACACAAAGGCTGCTGAAGTCCTGTCTTAGTGGGTTTCCCTTGATCCAGTGCTTAAAAAGCCCAGCTTAGGTCCTTTAAAGCTGGCTAAGTCACTCTCATGGCTTACTTTTCCACACCGCTCTCAAAAGCTAACCTTGTACAACTTATAAACGGGTCACATACAGACTTCACCTGATAACAGGTTGTAAACATCAACTTACTTAAAATGTCTCACTATTATACTTGTCCTGGAATATAAAAAGTTGGTTAACAATGCAATCGACCTCATGACATTAAAGGATGCTGTCAAGGTTGCATCCAACAATTTCACAAACAAAATCAGGAAATGTTAACCTCCCCAATCCTTTCAGTCTTCATTATATGACTAAAAGGACTTGAGACAATTTAGCTCAGTTTTAATATTTCCTAAGCATTTTGACCAGGTTCCCAGGTTTAAACTATGAACATTGACAGTGCCCGTTTATATAATCACACTTTGTTATGAAAGATGTAACCATTTTCTAACATGAGCCTATTTTCTACACTGCTTATTCACATATGTAAATTAACAAATGGAATGCCGTCTGCTACATTTATTGGTTCGTGAGTGTTTTCTGGAAAAACTGCAATGTTTGTGAAGACCAAAGCTCCATGTTAGCATTGCATGCATCCAGATATTAATAATGCACAGAGGCCAGGATCAGAGCACAAGAGAGCATATTTGAACACTAGTCCGCCCCATTCCCCTTTTTATTGCTTGTTTTGCTTATACTTCAAAAACCAAGTAAAAATCTGAATTCAGCGTTCAACTGCCAAAGAAAGTAGCAGCAGAGCACATACTCAGGACTTGAATGAAGTTAAGCACTAGCTGGTGCAACAGTAGACAGTTTTCAAACGACCTTAGTATCTAGAACTCTTCTCAACCAGGGTCTCTGAACAAACACCAACATGTTTTAGGATGAAATATATACAAAGAATAACCGTGTGCTCTTGGGATTTAAGCGTTCAGGACTCTCCAAATTTGAACTCAAGATCTCTGGGAAGTGAGGCGGCTCACACTAAACAAATGTGCTACATTTTCTGCTCCTATGTTTCGGACAATGACACCTTAACTATCCTTGGCTTGCTTCATCATGCAGTAAAATGCATAGGGGTATAAACAGGAAAGCGTGCCAGCCAGTTAGGGCTTCAAACAAGTGATTTTTATTCCTCGGTTCTGAAAAATGGTGTGTGTGGGAAAGTAAACCAAGGAAAGGGACTAGATCAGTGTGCTCTGAGATTTTAAACTTGAAAAGCAGGACAAATCAGGTATCCAGCAGTTTGCTCGGACACAGCAGACTTAGTGGTCCTGTATTAGAACTGTTACACTGGGAGGTGAAGTACATTCACCACCTTTTAGTGGAGGGCAGTATAAACACTTTATACCCCAAACTATGGGCAGCAGCTTTCAATGTGATCAAGGTAAATGATGTTCCTAACACGGCTAGCACTCAATAAATCTAACATACTAAAATCATGATTACATTTTAAAAGAAAATGCACAAAACCAAATAGGAACTTTTGAGATCTTTTTCATTTGAAAGTAATCTTAATGCTATTAAATCACAAATATGCTATTTTTTATTGCCCAATCCTAATGATCTAAAACACACATTGCAAACACACAAATATCTATTCTCTCCACATGTCAGCGCCCATTTATCATGGTTTTGGAAATGGGGAGAATAGATTCGATTTCCCTTAAATTGCAAGTCAGTAGGTATTTCTTTACAGTTAACTTTAGCAAAATTCATACAAAATAGTAATTAACAGTGATCATATTTACTTGTTAACTCACAAGGAAACAACTTCAAAACTGTGTATTTTTGTTAAAGTTTCTGTACTAAAAGGTAGAAAAACTGAACTACACAAATATCGAAAAGTTAAAAATTTCTTAATTTTTTATTCCTGGTACCATTACCACGATTTACAGGGCAATACACCTGATGTAATGAAAAGAAGAGGAAAAAATCAAAGCTACACCAGATGAAAGTCCTCAGGACTGCACATCTCATTGACACTGCACTGAGTTAATCAGTAGCTGCACCTTCTGCAGACGGTGGCTGTGGCAGTCCTGAACAAGAGGGGCCTCCTGCTTAAGCTGTGGTATCATCGCTCCTTCTGCGACAGATTTTTACAGTTCCTCTAATGCATTTAGGACGACTGTCTCAAAGTAACCTGCTGCTTTCCCGACAGCTCCTCACTCTCTCTCCTGCTAAGAACTGTAGCCCTTTTCTGCTGTTTTTTTTTTTTTTTAAACCGTCTGCTACCATATCCACCATTTCCACCACCAGATCCATAGCCACCACCATAGGGACTGACTGAGCTTCTTCCACCAAAACTGCTCTCTATCATGGGTCCATAATTTGATTGCTCTTGTCCACTACAATTTCCAAAGTCATTATAGTTCCCACCACCGTAGTTACCCCCACCAAAATTTCCTCCTTCATTGTAATCGTTGTATCCTCCTCCACCACCACCATGTCCACCACCTTGGTTTCCACAGCCTGGTCCACCACCACCATAGCTGCCACCACCATAGCTGCCACCATCACCTCCAAATCCATTCCATCCACCATCACCACCTCCATAACTACCTCTGCTGCCACCACCTCCACCATCATAGCCTCCTCTTCCACCAAAGTTTCCACCACGACCAAAATTACCTCCACCACCTCCAAAGTCCCCTCCACGAGCCATAAAATTGTCAGATCCACCTCCATGAGCTCTCTGTGATCCAGCAGACTGCATCTCTTGTTTAGAAAGGGCCTTTTTCAATTCACAATTATGCTCATTAATAGTGTGGTGTTTCTGAACAACAATTTTATCAACTGTGTCGTGATCATCAAAAGTCACAAAAGCAAACCCTCTCTTTTCCCCACTCTGCCTGGCTTCCATAACTTCTATGGCTTCAATCTTGCCATATTTTTCAAAATAATCTCTCAGGTTATACTCTTCTGTATCCTCTTTAATACCAACAACAAAGATTTTCTTCACTGTTAAAAGGTCACCAGGCTTTACAGAGTCCTCTCTAGAAATGGTTCTCTTTGGTTTCACCACCTGTCCATCAACCTTGTGTGGCCGAGCACACACTGCAGCATCCACCTCCTCAGCACAAGAGTGGCTCATGAAACCAAAGCCCCTGGAACGTTTTGTTTGGGGATCTCTCATTACCACACAGTCTGCAAGTGTGTCCCCATTTCTCAAAATGTTCTCTTAAGGGGCTGGAGAGATGGCTCAGTGGTTAAGAGCATTATCTGCTCTTCCAAAGGTCCTGAGTTCAATTCCCGGCAACCACATGGTGGCTCACAACCATCTGTAATGAGGTCTGGTGCCCTCTTCTGGCCTGCAGACATACACACAGACAGAATATTGTATACATAATAAATAAATAAATAAATAGATATTTTAAAAAAATGTTCTCTTAAGCTATCATCTGTGGTTTCAAAGCTCAGACCACCAATAAGCAGTTTCCTCAACTGTTCTGGTTCCTTCAGAACAGGGTCGCCCCCCCCCCCCCCGCAGCAACGATGGTCAGAGTCAGGCTGGGGGTGACCAGGCAGCGGTTTTACCTTCATTTTGAGACCTTAATTATACATTTTTAAATAAGCTGCACAAACACAATCAAGAACAGAAATATACATATAGCAAAATTGACCTAAAATTTGTATCAATAAACCAAGAGCCATACCAATGAAAATCTCTATAGCATACCCCCTTTAAATATAAACAAATATTTATAAACAATATTTTGGAATATGGGTGTAGTTCTCATCAAGATGTTTTCTGCTTTTTGTTGGGCAAAGTATTTTTGAGGGTGTTCATGGCAACCTTTCGGGGGGTCTTGGTCCTTTAAGCCACATTAGTCTGGAATTAATCCACAGGTTCTCTTCTTTTGTGAAAGCAAAAAGAAGAACCTCTTTTCCAAAGCAACATATCCTTAAGCCCAAAATTTGAAGGCAAGATATCTTTAAAGTATATATATTGGTTTAGCTTAGCAGCCCATACAATGAAATGTCTTAGCCCCTTCACAGTTAACAAAATCAAAGAAAACACAATAATATACATAACCCAGACTTTCTGTGTATATACCATCTTTATGTGGCTTATTTTTTTTACTCTATTACTCTTTCTACAAGTTTAATATTTATTTTATTATATTTACCCTTTTAATCTATGACTGTATATACTCTTTTATATTACATTTACTGTCTCTTTACTATTTTTCTTCTCTCTCCCAAAACTATGTACATTTTTAAAATATACTGTGTCTCATTTAGAGGTCTTTTATGCCTGAATCTGTCCTTATTATGTATCTGTAATCCTTTTCTGACCAGGACGGCTTCTTAAAATGCTAAGTGCTCTTAAGAACCTAAGCAGTAGCATTGCTAGGGCAAACACGGCCTTGCCTGCTTGCTCTGCCCAGTCCAACAGGGCAGAAGTTCATTTACTGCCTCTGAGACTGCCGGGTGGGAGCCGTCCTCACCACCTCAACTTTGATAACCAGTTGACCCATGCTGCCACCAAATAACTTGCAGCACACTGCCCACAAACCCCATTTAAAAGCCCAGCCTTCTGAAAGAGTCAAAACTTGTGCTGGCAGCACGCCTCAGAAAGCCACTGTTTCAAAACTGCATGGCTTTTTTTCTGCTACCACTGAATCCGGAAAACCTCTCTTAAGGGAGCTGTCACACACCACTAGCTGAAAATGTGGCTAAACTTTGCTTTTTTAGTGTCTAGAATTCCTTTCCAAGCCCTCTCAGGTTTTACGTGGATTTAGCTAGCACATGTTGAAGCACCAATTTGTTGTAGGAGACTGCTTGTTGTTCTCAGCTTCCCAGACCTGAAATAATGACACAGAAACTGTATTGATTAAATTACTGCTTGGACAATTAGCTCTAGCTTCTTATTGGCTAGTTTTGTTTTCCCTACCTACCTCTGTTCTGCCCTGCTATAGGTCCAAAGCAGTTTCTTTATTCATTAATGGTAATCACAGCATATAGAGAGGAATCCCACATCAGGGAGGGAAAGATGGAGGGAGGAAGGAAGGAGAAAGGAAAGAAGGAATATGGGAGGGAAGAAGAGGAGAGGAGGGGAGGGAGGGATGGAGGAAGGAGCTCATGGACATGAGCCAGTGAGTGAGAGCCTGTTGTTGTTTGGTGCATCTGGGGCTCAAACCCAAGTCTTTCTCATCTCTAAGGTCACAAAGTCATCACTGCCTCCCTGCATCTCAGTTGGCACTGCTTTCTGTGACAGAGGAAGATGGACCTTGGACTGACAAACGTCTTGGTCAGAAGTCAAAATGTCAGAAAGAGGATCACACAGTCAGGATCTATTTTTAATTGGGGTATGGAGCCAGAAGCTAAAGGGCCGGGGTGGGGAGAGGGTGGACTTGAACCCCAGCAGGGCTCAGGGTTCTCCCCTGTCTCAGAGCCTCATTCATGGTTAGGTTCCAGGCAACAAACGTAATGGATGACTTCCAACAACAGAAGTCATTAAGGAAGCCAATAAAGATGTGACAGATCTGGCAAGAACAAGAAACGGCTCAGGTGTAGTGCTAGGAGGCCAAGAGAGAGCAGTTTCCTTCAGGCCATGGATGAATCAGCCTGGCAGGCACCCAGCCTTCGATTGGGATCAGAGGTGCAGCCAGCGTGCACTCAGAGGATGCCTTCAAAGGTCATGTACCAATAAAAGCGTTTACTGAGCCAGCATCCCTTGGTTTAATCACATGCCTCCTACGCTGATTGGATCAGTAGTGTTAACCTACCCCACACGAGCCGCACCAGATTCCTTCTTGAGGAGATGCTCAACAGAGGGACACCTTAGAGGATCACTGAGACCCGAGGTTGAGGGCACAATGGGGGCAGGAACAAAATCCCTCTGCAAACAATGAAAAGTGACTGAGGGGCAGATAGATTGAAAGACTCGAGGAGAGAGAAGTTGACACAGAGTTGGATAGATAGACAGACAGAGGAGCTGCCTCTGTGAGGAAACCCCTGTGAGTGCTGGACATCCAGCTGGTGCAGGGGTCAGGCAAAATGACTGTCAGGTGGCGAGCTGGCGCTTACAGCTGGATGCTTGCTTAGCAGTGCAGGGAACAGAGGAAGGACAGTTGAAGGAGGAGATAGAAATCTATAGGAAAGACTTAAATGTGCGTCTTGGGAGAGCGTGCCTCTTTGGAGAGCGTGCATCTTGGGAGAGTGTGCATCTTGGGAGAATGTGCATTTTGGGAAAGTGTGCATCTTGGGAGAGCCTGCATCTTGAAAGAGTGTGCATCTGCAAGGGTCACCTTAGGTGTGAGATCCTCGAAGCATCCCCTTAGCGTAGCTTCCCCACCTATCATCTCTCGGGCTAATAGATCATCACACAGACTGTCCATTTCTAGTTTTGTTTTGTTTTATCACACTTATCCATTCATTCATTCGTTCGTTTGTTTTGTTTATTGAGAGAGGGTTTCTCTGTGTAACCTTGGCTGTCCTGGAACTCACTCTGTAGACCAGCCTGGACTCAAACTCACAGAGAGCCACCTGCCTCTGCCTCCCGAGTGCTGGTCTTTAAGGCATGTGCCACCGCCACCACCTGGTCCAGTAATGTTTCTAAACTAAAAATATGGGATGGTGTATACCATTAACCCCAGCGTTTGGAAAGCAGATCTTTGTGAGTTTGAGGCTAGCCTGGTCTACATAGTAAGTTACATATCCACCAGACATGTAACTTGTGAGACCCTGTAAGTCTCAAAACAAAAGATGAAGCTGATGAGGTATGATGACACAAACCTATAATCCCAGCACTTGGGAAGTTGAGGCAGGAGGATCATAAGCTGTAGTCCAGCCTGGACTACACAAAGAGATTGTCACAAGAAAAAAAAAAAAGAGAAGGAAAGAAGGAGGAAAAAAGTAAAGCATCACATCAAAAAAAAAAAAAAACAATTGAGTGTTTATGTGGGGGGAGGGTACTATTGCCATATGAGTGCAGTGCTCACAGAGGCCAGAAGGGGGCATCAGATCTACTAGAACTGGAGTTACAGGTGGTTGCTGATGAACCAGCTTGAAAGCCATCTATTAGCAAAGTTAAACTAGCTTTGTTCCTATTTACAATTAAATGCCTGTTTTTTTGTCTTTGGGTTTTTGTTTGCTTGTTTGTTTTTTGAGACAGGGCTTCTCTGTGTAGTCCTGGCTGTCCTGGAACTAGCTCTGTAGACCAGGCTGGCCTGCCTCTGCTTCCCAAGTGCTAGGATTAGAGATGTGTGCCCCCATCACCAGGCTAAACCTCTGACTGTCAAGGATTAAGCTATGCCCCACCTAGAACCCTAACAACAAATGATTCTGTTCCAGAAAATGGAGCCACACGTTCCACTCAGGAGAGCATTACAACCAACTTGTTATCCTTACGATCGGCTTCTGTAACCCCACTTATTTGTCTTCCAAACCCCCATTTGAGAACCCCCTACTTCTGAGCTAGAAAAACCTTATCTTCCCTATGTACAAAGCCACTCTCTAAAACCTGCACTAGGAGGAGATGGCCACCAGGCCTGCTTTGTTTTGCTGTGCACAATAGAAAAACTGGCTCCCATTTGGACATCTGGATTGGTGGTCTTTTACTCCTGTCTGCTGGGCTTAACATGTGAGCTGATTGCTTGTGGGTGCTGGGAACCAAACTCATGGCCTTGCAAATGCAGTATGTGCTCTTAACCACTGAGCCATCATCTTTCCAGCCCCTAAAACATCCTTTCAGAAATTAATAATTGCTTTGTGCTCATAGGCCTTTCTGCCTCCCTCCCTCCCTCCCTCCCTCCGACAACTGTGGACAGTAATGAAAACCGCTCTCAGCGACACTGTAATTGGGTCACAAGTGGGCACATGACCTGTACTGGTCCAATCAATATCAAACTCGTATTTTTTTCTCCTGGGAATTCTGGGGTGCAGCTCCTCTTCCTTGGTCTGGGATGGTGTGGGAAGGCTTGTCACCCACTGCTGCTACAACCAGTTTCTACTGCAAGAAGCTAGTCTGAAAAGAGGCCAGCACATGGGGGGCAGAGCCAAGGCACCTGCAGCTTGCAGGAGCCAGAGCCCTGACATCCCAGAGGCCCTCATTAGTTCCATTTATCATTTGATCCCCTTGGGGCTGGGTTCCCGTCACCCCTGACGGAACATACACTGACCTGCCCCTACCTGCTTTTCTACGCAGCCTGCTTGGGAGCACGTTAAACTTTAGACACTGTCCAATTTTTTTAAACAACTGTTTTGCTTCCTTTGACCAGAATCAAGGTCCAGAGATGTCACTGGTGCCCATTAACTCCTTTCTGTAAATAAAGCCACGGGAGGAGCACAGGCCTTTGTTCCTAGAGCAGAGGGAGCCCTTCTTCCTGCTCACGCCTGCTTTCACGCTGGCTCAGATCCCAAAGCTCCATTGCTGGCCCGTGACTCACAAAGTAAATCACCTATAAGTGAAAAACCTCTTATCATAACTTTGGCAGGAAAAACAAGCTGGCAAGCCAGGCAACATTCTTCATGCGGGAGCCTCCTTGTGCCAAGGGCTGCTCTGCGCATGAGCAACGTCGGCCGCTTGCTCAAACGCA